TATATATATATACTGTATATAGACACAAAAATAAACTACTACTTACTACTTGTACTGTTGTTCTTACTTTGCAGTTTTTCACTTATTGTGGGGCTTCAGGGTACGGATACCCCACAATAACCAAGGAACTACAGTATAAATAAATAAATCAACAGGCCTGCAACTCAGCAGTTAAATGTGCAGTTTTATTTTTTCTCCAGCTTCATTTCAAACCTTTTTCTGTGACATTTTTGCTAAAAGAAGCCTCAAGTTTACAGATTAGAGGAGCACTGAACAAAGGAAGATCTGAACAAAGGAAGATCACTCAGTTGTCCCGCTTCTTTTGTACTTCCCAGAGCCCTGTAAAGAGAGAGTTGCGACACTCCCATAGACTCCCATAGAAAGAATGGAATGCGGAAGTCACGTGGGTCATGAAGCGGCAAAGAGTTCCAAACAGCAGCGGGTTCAGCATTGAACGTAGTTCATTTTCCGTGTTTTTCCGGTAAGTTAATGCAAATACGACACTTTTTCTCCATTGTGAAGCGTTATCTGACTGTTCTGTACCTCAATTTATCAACATTAATACTTCATGTCACCAGTTTTAGTTAATGAAACGTTAAATTACTACTTGTGTTTTAACTGCAGCTGCTCTGCAACATGACGGTTTAAACGAGTCTATTTCTAATTCAGCGTTTTAAAATATCTATTACTGCTTAAATTTTGAAAGGTAGTCTTTTTTAAATTTATGGTAATTCCAGTTACTGAACTCAACTAGAAAATATTTGGCCTTTTTTTCCTGAGAGATTCATTCAACCTTTATTTCTACAGGTAAATCCCATTGAGCCTCGAGGACTCATTTACAAGAGAGACCTGATTTCAACAAAGAATGATGACAACATGACAACAAGATTGACGTAATTTAGTTAAAGTTATAGATCATTTGTCAAAAACTGCAGCATAAATTGTGACATTATCATTAAAGAAAAACGTGATTGTGGAGATGAGTCAATTTTTTTCATGTTTTCCAGGTAAACCACAGAATGACTTCATGAACTGAATGTTGCATTCAAAGTATCACAAAGGTACAAGATCTCATTTTCTGTCTTCTATTAATCAATAACAGCTTAATCAAGATGTTTGAATAAAATTACTTTAACACCATAACCTTCACAAAGTTGGTATTTACTGCAGGACTGTTCATTTACATTAGTTTTATATTATTAGTTTAGTGTTTGGTAATCATGGGTCAAGTTGAGATGAGACTCTTTCAAGACAGAACAAGAAATAAGAATTATTACAAGAATATATCAGCATCAATAAACTGTAGGACAGTAACAAAACACTTATTAAACTATCACAGGTACATTGAGATGGAGCTGGAAGTTATTCTTCATGCCAGTTGTCTTCATCTGATCTTTTGTAAAAATATGTCAATTTATTTTCCATGAACATTTTTCTTCTCAGGACTGAGTTAATTTTTTTGTCTGTGAGTTTCTTCTGTCCTGCTTATGTATGTTTTTGTGTTCTAATTGTTCCCTCAGGTTGTTCATCTCTGTTCCCTGACTGCCTGTTGATCCATCCTCCTGGTCCTGTTGATCCTGGATCATCAGATCCTGACATGTCCCCGTCCTCTGAGGACACATTTTCATCTTTCCCTCATCTCACTCGCCTCATTTCTGTTTCTTCCTCAGTCTCTGAAATTACAACGTCACTGTTAGAATGAAGATTATTGTTCAATAAAAAATATGACATGTCTTATTTAACACTGTTCGTACTAAAGTTTAATTTAGAACAACATGTGTGATCACTGGTCAGATCACTGGTCAGATCACTGGTCAGATCACTGGTCAGGTCACTGGTCAGATCACTGGTCAGGTCACTGGTCAGATCACTGGTCAGTGGAAGTTCTGCTGTTCTTCTCATCTGGTTCTGGTCCATGAACAAATGGTTGAACCTCCTTCAGTCTCACACGTCCTCACTGTGTCTCTGTGAACTGTCCTCTCTCTAAATGTGCCTGTAGAGTGACATTAGTTTATTTTCTTGCACATTTCTTTGACAGTTAAACATTTTGAGCCCTGATTGAAAATGTTTGTGCAGATTAAATTTACAGCTCTCACTTTGTGTTGTTGTGATGGTGATGGTGGTGGTCCTGCTGACTTGAGATGATGTCATTAATAAACAGTATAAATGTCAGTAAAAGTACTTTATTAAAGCTTGCTTTACATTTTACATATTTTATAATTGTTTGGAAATTTATTTTTGCACAGTTAACACTTATTTTGTCATCTGTTATGATTTTAACTAGAAACAGTTTCATTTAAATTAACATTTTAATCAATGAATTACAATTTTACAATAGTTGTCAGGCTACAATCAACTCAGTTATCAGGTACTTGGTTGCCATAAAAAAACGACAAATACAACAATTATATTCAGTCTCTCTTGTAAATGAGTCCTCGTGACTCAATGGGACGAACCTGTTTAAATAAAGGTTGAATTAATATCTTCTATAGAAATCAAGAATTCATCCAGATGTTCTGAGGTAAGCTGGAGCAGATCTGAACTGCTGCATGGAGGACAAGGTGGA